AGTGGCTCACACCTGTAATCCCAGCACTTTGGGAAACTGAGGCAGGCAGATCACCTGAGGTTGGGAGTTCAAGACCAGCCTGACCAACATGGAGAAACCCTGTATCTACTAAAAATACAAAATTAGTCAGGCGTGATGGCGCATGCCTATAATTCCAGCTATTCGGGAGGCTGAGGCAGGAGAATCACTTGAACCTGGGAGGCAGAGGTTGCCATGAGCCGAGATCGTGCCATTGCACTCCAGCCCAGGCAACAAGAGTGAAACTTTGTCTCCAAAAACAAAAAAAAAAGAAAAAAAAAAATCCCTCTCCCAATAACCAACACACTCTCGAGATAAGGATATTAATCCATTCATAGGGCAGAGCTCTCCTGACGTAATCACCTCTTAAAGGTTCCACCTCTCAACACTGTTGCATTGAGGACTGAGTTTCCAACATATAAATTCTGGGGGACACATTCAAACCACAGCATTCCACCCGTGGCTCCAAAAATTCATGTCCTTCTCACATGCAAAATATATTCATTCCATCCCAATAGCCCCAAAAGTCTTAACTTCTTTCATCATCAACTCAAAAATCCAAAAGTCGAGTCTAATCTAAATTAGATATGGGTAAGACTCAAGGTACAATTCATCCTGAGACAAATTTCCCTCCAGCTGTAAGCCTGTAAAATTAAACAAGTTATCTACTTCCAAAATACAATGGTGGGATAGGCATAGAATAGACATTCTCATTCCAAAGGGAGAAATAAGCAAGAGAATGGGGTAACCGGTCCTGAGTAAGTCCAAAACCCAACAGGGAAAACAATATTAAATCTTAAGATGCCAGAATAATCTCCTTTGACTCCATGTCCCCAATCCCCTGTACACTGGGGTGGGGGTTGGGCCACCAATGCCTCAGGTAGCCCCACCCCATGGCTTTGCTGGGTTCAGTTCATCCAGTAGCTCTCAAGGGTTGGTCTTGTGCCTGCAGCTTTCCCAGCCTGGAGCTGCATGCTCCCCTACTTCTACAGCTCTACTAGGAATTGCCCTAGTTGGGGGCTCCCTGCAAGCTCTGTTCCTGCAGAAAGTCTCTGCCTGGGCCCCTAGGCAGTTGTGAAATCTAGATGGAGGAAGCCATATGCCCACAGCTCTTGAATTCTGAGCACCTGCACACTTCTACCACATGGACATAGCCAAGATTTGCTGCTTCCACCTTCGAAAGCTGTGACACCTGGGGTGACCTGGGAGCATGATCAGTACTAGAATGCGGAGAGCAAAGACTTACAGCAGCCCTAGGCAGCAACCCCAGTGTCCCAAGGGCACCCGAGGCCTCTCTTTTGACATTTCCTTTCCCCAGACCTTGGCACTCTGGGCCTGTGATGGAAAGGGAGCACTGCTGATCTCCAAAGTACCTTTGGGGTCATTCTCTCATCATCCTTTGGTTTCCTTCTATCCATGTTAATCTCCTTATCAATCAATCAGTTGCTCGGCCACACCCATGGTTTCCTCTCCTGAAAATGTTCTTTCATTCTCTGCTACATGGCCAGACTGAGAATCCTTCAAATTCCTCATTTCTGTTTCCCTTTGAATTATAAATTCCATCATTAAATCATTTCTCTCTTCTCTCATTTTACTGTATGAAGTTAATAGAAGCCATGTAGCTCCTTCAACATTTTGCTTAGAAATTTCTCTCAAGAGATACCCTAGTTGATGGCTCTTAAATTCTGCCTTCCTAAAAGCCTGACGGTATGGACACAATTCGGCCACGTTCTTTGCCACATCATAACAAGGATGGCCTTTACTTATTTCCAATAGTTCCTCTTTTCTATCTGAGATCCCATCAGAATGGCCTTTACTGTCCATATTTCTACCAACATTTCGATCACAGCCCCTTAATTAATCTGAGAAGTTTCTCAGTTTACCACTAGCTCTCTTCTTCTGAGACCTCAGCAGAATTGCCCTTAATGCTCTATTTATAGCAGTATAGGCTTTTTCTAACCTGCTCCTCCAAATTCTTCTAGTCTCTATCCATTACCTAGTTCCAGAGCTACTTCCACATTTTCAAGTATTTGTTATAGCAACAGCCCCACTTCTTAGTACCAATTTTCTGTCTCAGTCCATTTTGTGTTGCTATAACAAAACACCCAAGACCGTGTAATTTATAAAGAACAGAAATGTATTGGGCTCACAGTTCTGGAGGCTGGGAAGTCCAAGATCAAGGAGCTGCATCTTGTGAGGGCCTTTCTGCTGTATCATAACATAATGGAAGGCATCACTTGGAGAGACAGAGAGCAAGAGAGGGCCAAACTGGTTTTTGTAACAAACCCACTCCCATGATAATAATATTAATCCAGCTATGAAGCCAGAGCCTCTTAAGGTCCCTCTTGATTACTTCTTAAAGGCCACACCTCTCAACACTGTTGCATTGGCAGTTGTTTCAAACCCATGAACTTTGGGGAACACACTCAAACCATAGCACTTTGGAAAATGCATCAAGTGGTAAGACTGAAGTTCAGAAACATGTTCTTCTGCTACTTTGGATAAGGCTCAACTCCAAGGTAGTTGGTCGAAAAAAAAAGAAAAAAAGAAAAAATGGCATTCATATGTCATTTCCTGGGAGTGACCACTTACATTATTCCTACATCAGTTCCTCTGGTTCTGTCTGTTAAGTGCCCTAATTTTGTATTCGAATAAAAACACCACTTCTTTTTCACCTAAGAACTATCTGTAGTTCTGTAGCTGCAACATTCCCACATATTATAAGAATTTCATTAACCAGCTTATCCTCCACCCAAAACTGGTATTTGAAAAGGAGAGTGAAAATATATCGAGCAATTTAAAGAAGTTAGTTGATAAATACAAGTTTGAAAAGCTTTTGATATATTAGGTTGGGGCAGAAAGTAATTACGGTTTTGCCATTACTTTTAATAGCAGAAACATCAATTGCTTTTGCACCAATCTAATAAATTTGCTCAACTAATCAGGCTTCCATTTGTTTGGAAGTTACTTAGAGAAAACCTAATTTTTAAGAAAAATTTCCATATTCGTATCAGCAGTAGTAAATCTTGACTTCATACTTTGCGGGGCACATATGGTCTCTATCCTTGTATGTTGTTGTTGTTGTTTTAAATCACCCTTTAAAAATGTAAAAACTATTCTTAGCTGAAGGCAAAAAAAAAAAACCACAGGCTACAGTTTGCAGACTTCTGCTCTACAGAACAGGTACTTTTTCTTTATTAAAAAAGGCGGAATGGTGCTCTAAAACAGCAGTGAGCTAAGATTGCACCACTGCACTCCAGCCTGGGCAACAAAAGTAAGACCCAGTCTCAAAAAAAAAAAAAAAAATACTGATATATGGCAACAAGTTTCATCATCATCTTTTTAATCCAGCCACTTGTGTAAGTCACTGAGCACCTTTGTGCCTCAGTTTCTTCATCTATAAAATGAGGGGTTAGGATGGATCAGTGGTTTCCAAACCACACGTAGAGGAAGCCTGGGGCTCTTGGGCAGGGCTGGGCTATATGCACCCACCCCCAGCTCTCACCCCAGCACATACCCAGCCAGCTCAGCCCTGCTTTGGCTTTGATCTTTTCTACATAGTGAAGCTCTCCATAAAGACAAGGAAGGGTTCCACCAATTTTGTTTTGTTTTGAAAGCCACCATTTTAGATGACCTCAGGGATTCTCCTGGTGAAAATCCTCTATAAATCCACTTTGGATCATCAATCATTATCCAATCATCTTATTGGTGACTACGTGTCAGGTAAATAGAAATGATTTAAAATCCTATATTGAGCCAGGCACAGAGTCTCACACCTATAATCCCAGCACTTTGGGAGGCTGAGGTGGGGTATCACTTGAGGCCAGGAGTTTGAGACCAGCCTGGACAACATAGCAAGACTCCCATCTCCACAAAAAGTTTAAAAATTACCCAGGGCTGGTGGCATGTGCCTCTAGTACCAGCTACTTGGGAGGCTAAGGTGAGAGGATCACTTGAGACCAATAAGTGAAGGCTGAAGTTAGCTGTGATCACACCACTGCACTCCAGCTTGGATGACAAGAGTAAGACCCTGTCTCAAAAATTAAAATTAAAAAAAAAAGTCCTATATTGCATATTTAAAAGAGGAGAGGCAAAAACAAGAAAGATCTTATTCTAAGGAACCACCTATACTTGTTCAGATTTGTGAAAATTCACTGGATAGCCAAATCAAGAGGGTTCCCATGTCCCACACATACTCATGAAAGGGAGAGCTCATTTCTGCATCTCTCTGCTTACAGCACTGGGAAAAGCAGAATGCTTTAGCAAAGGAAGGACCACTGAGCTGAGACTCCGAGACCTGGTTCCACTTTGAATTTAGAATTTACCAGTTATATAACTTCTGATGTTTATTTAACAAAAGCTGAAGACCCTACCATACACCAACTCTCAGACATGGTATGAGGAATACAGTGATGAACCAGAAATATGAAGAATGCTCTGTCCCCATTACTCAAATCCATCATCCATAAAGTAGGGTAATAATACTGCTCTCTCTCCCATATGTGGTCGTCTTGCAGAGATGGCCAAGTACATGCAAACTGCAAAGCATGGATAATAACATTAAACCAGAAACCTATTGATTCTCCTCCTTTTAAGTAAATAAAATATATTCAACTCCAACAATTCACTAATATTGATGAAACAGGGCCACAATAAGTTTTGTATAGCAAAAAATCTATTTATACAGCATGAAACAGCATGGCAAAATAGAAAGGACACAAGCTTTGGAACCAGACACTCCCACTCGAATCATACCCTGCTATGCACTAGGCTCACCTGAAGTCTACAAGCACCTTCTCCCGTTTAGAGTATAAGATACTAATATCTGCAATTGTACAGGGGTGTTGTAAAGGTAAATTAGCATTATATAAGTAAAGCACCTGGCATAGAGTTGACACTTAGTGAATAATAGCTTTCCCTTTTTCCCAGGCACCTAGATATCTCAGATGATAAAACATTATGTTTTAAAGAGGACGGCTTACCTCAGAACTGTTGATATTGTTACCCAGCTCTATATCATAATCACCCCAACCAAAGAAGACAGGAAACTTCTGGTTGTTATGACCATGGAATCCAGATGCAGAATATGCCCAGTCATCAGGAAAATCTGACAGTCTTGGCACAGTTTGAGGACAGAAAGAGAGCAACAGCCAATAGCTGAGGGGAGACTCCACAGTCTGGAATGTGCCACAGACTTCCAACCGCAAAAGTTCTCTCTTGCATTTAGACGGTGGTATCCCCTGCAGCACAGGCCACGGCCTCTGCTCTTCTGGGCAAGTCTCCTCGGGAAGGGAGGAGAAGCACGTGACTCCCTCCAGTCATCTCCAGGCTACATTCACGTGAATGTCCAGGGCACTGTTCATCGCTTCCTGTACCCAGCCCGGGACAATTTAGGCAAATCGTTTTCTCATTTTTGAAAGAGGAAGACAGCAGGAGATGGTTTCCAAAGTTCTTTCTACCTCTAAAACCCTTTGATTCTGTGACCCAGTCTTAACTTCTTTGTTTATTCATTCAGCAGTGTTTACGAAACACCTTCTGTGGGATCCCCTTCTTAACTTCATTCATTTGTTCATTCAACAACATTAATAGAACATCCCCTATTTCTTGGATTCTGTGACCAGTTCTTTACTTCTCCCTTCATTCATTTATTCAGCACTATTTATTGACCACCTACTATAATCAGTTACTGTTATCTGCAAGAATGTACAAAAATGAATAAGAAAGTCCATGCCCTTTAAAAGCTCAGTCAATAAGAACATCGACAAGTAAGAAAGTATACTATGCACAGGAGGTTACTACAATAGAGCTACGGGAACCAGGGTAGCTAGGGGTAGGGGATGCCTAATTCTACCCGGCAGGTGGGACAATGGAGGAGGGGAAGCAGGAAAGGCTTCTCAGAGAACTGAGTGTTGGAGGCTAAGTAGGAGGTTATCAGGCACATAAATGAGTTGAAGATATTTCAGAAACAGAAAAGAATATGCCAAGGAAAGGAGGTATAAGTATGATTTGCAGAACAGATAGTTCAGTACAAATGAAACAAGGAGCATACAACATGGCACAGGAAAGGGGCTCAGATGACGAAGCATCTTCTAGATTTTGCTTCTTGGCAAAGTCTAGAAGTCCAAACTTTATCCTTTTAGAAAATGCCTAAAATATCTTAAATAGGATTATCTGGATTACATGAGTGTTTTAGAAAGTCTGCCATGGCGGCAGTGCGGAGACTGGATTATAGAGGCAGGGCTTGGGGAGGGGAGAGGTGAGACTCAGGCAAAAAAAAAAAAAAAAAAAAAGAGGTCGGCTGGCAACCATTTCAATTCTCTTTGAGAAAACATAAGAGTGTAAACCAAAGCAGAGGCAGGGGGTGCATATGCTTTATTCTAGAGATATTTGGGAAGTAGAATCAACAAAACTGGGTGGGGAAGAAATTCCATGAGCGGAGGAAAAGGAAGCGGTGGCGTTTGGATTACACTCAGGTTTCTGTCTCAGATGAGTGGGTTCATGTACGGTGAGGACAGCAACCCAGAAAAGGAAGACATGAAGACCAGAAGTACTCCTAGTTCCCCAAGACTGGAAGTCTGAAGTCATCTCTTCTTTGCTACCATGTAGTCTCCAAGATAAATCATGCTGGACCAAGGCACTCACTGGAGTTCTCCTCCAACAGGAGGAAATCATACAGGTACCAGCATAAATATGGAGCATCTTCACAGACCAAAACTGTTACATACATATTTACAAGAAACAAACGTAAATTTGACTGATGAGTTATTGAAAACATTACTTTTAGTCTAAACCAACAGATATACAGCATAATGCATATTTTAAGATAATTCAAAGATACATCAAGGAAATCTCACAGAAGCTATGAGAACCCTTGTGAGTTTAGGGTTCCCCATCTTCAGGATTCTTTGCCTTTTGGGGTCTTTGGGGAAAAATTTCAAAGTGCTACATTATAGCATTACCTAGTAAAGCCAAAGAAGCACATGTGGCATTTCCATTACTATGTAGACACCTTAGAGTAGTGGTTCTCAAAGTGTGGTGTGTGGACCCCTATGTGTCTCTGAGACCCTTTCAGGCATCCTCAAGATCAAAACTGTTCTCATAATAATACTCAGCTATCATTTGCCCTTATTACTCCGTTGACATCTGTAATGATGATACAAAAGCAGTGACGGGTAAAACTATTAGGACCTTAGTTCGAATCGAATCACAGCAGTAGCAATAAACCATACTAGTAATGATTTCATTCTTCACTGTTGCACATATTTAGAAAACTAACACACAAACACAAAAACAAAACAAGGAGAAAAGCCCTGCCAGTTTCACTTAAGAATGTCTTTGATGAAGCAGTAAAAATTATTTTCATTGAAGACTGACCCTTGAGTAATATCTTTTTAATAACACATGTAATCAGCAAAGTACGGTTGCTGTCTCAAGGAAAAGGACATGTGTGACTGAGTTAAGAGCTGAACCAGCCAATTTTTCCTTGAACATCACTTTTAATTGAAAGGATAACTGACTATGGTCATTCAAGTATGGGTATTTGGCAGACTCTTCATTGGAAATGAAAAGTAAGACTGATACTTCAAGGAAAAACTGACAGTGTTTGTTGCCAATGATAAAATTCAAGCTTTCAAGCAGGAATTAAAATTTTGGAAAACATGTATCTTACACTGTGAATTTGACAGCTTCCCAATACAGTCCTTAAAGACCTTTCAGATAACATCAGTGTTGATATTAATATTTTTTTATATTGTATAACAAAATGTGTCAACATTTGGTAGATCTACGTAACTCAGTGAACCAATATTTTCCAAATGTCCAACGCAAGATGTTCTGTGCACATTGATCCATTCAAAGCACAAGAGAGACCAGTAGATTTTAATGCAACAAAACATGAAAAGTTTATTGAAATGTTTTGATTCATCATTGCAACTAATCTTTAAGAAGCTACCTCTTTTTGAGTCTTGGTGTAATATCAATGAATATTCACAATTATCTGAAAAGACTATTATATATTGGTGTGAAGTCAGATTTTCTTCAGAAATGCCATCCAAAACATGTCACAAGATTGAATGCAGGCCAGGCACGGTGGCTCATGCCTATAATACCAGCACTTTGGGAGGCCAAGGCAGGCGGATCACCTGAGGCCAGGAGTTCAGGACCAGCCTGGCCAACATGGTGAGAACCCATCTCTATTAAACATGTAAAAAAAAAAAAAAAAAAAAATTAGCCAGGCCCAGTGGCAGGCACCTGTAATCCCAGATACTTGGGAGGCCAAGGCAGGAGAATTGCTTCAACTTAGGAGGCAGAGGTTGCAGTGAGCTGGGATGGCACCACTGCACTCCAGCCTGGGCAATAGAGGGAGACTCCGTCTCCAAAAAAAGACTGAATGCATTAGCATATAGGAAACTCTCGTTGTCTTCTGTTAACTTAGGCATTAGAGATTTGCAAAACTATAAAATAATGCTACTCTTCTCACTAAATCTCTTTTGGAAAATATATTTTTATTAAAATATGCATTTATAATTAACATGTAATGGGTTAGAATCAGTATTTTTAATAATACATTTAATTTCTCAGTTTTAATCTCTACCATGATATAGATAAATAGATACAATGCATATGCACAAAGGTTTTTGAAGTGTAGGGGTCCTGGTAAAAAGGTCCTAAAACCAAAATGTTTGAGAACCAGTGTCTTAGAGAAATTCAAACTCAGGCTAACTGATATGTACATGCATGTTCACAGCAGCACTGTTCAGAACAGCAAAAAAAAAAAAAAAAAAAAGTGGAAACAAAAGCAAACATCCATTGTGATATGTTTCTACAGTGAAATACTGGAGAGCAGTGAAAATGAATGTGCCAGAGCTACATGCATCAACATGGATAAATTCCAGAAAGGTAACCATTTAATGAAACACCAAGGTGCAAAACACACACTGTATACTAATACTGTTACACATCTCAAAGACAAGCAAGACTAAGCAATATGGTAAAGTCCAGAGAAAAGCCAAGGAAAATAATAAACAGAGAATTTAGGGTAACGGGAACTCTTAGGAGACAGGGAGTAGGAAAAGAATACACGAACAGGTTCAATAGCATTAAAACCAGTTAAACTGAGTGGTAGGTTTACAGATGTTTGTTTTGTCATTATGCTTTCCATTATATATGTAGAGATGTTAGATATACTATTTTTTGTTAAGAGCACATACTATATTACCTTCAAAGGGAGACACAGCATTAGAACACTCCTTGCTGATTACTGAGGAACCAAAGAGGTAAGGGAGGGATAAGAGGGGAGGGCATGCCCTGGGTGAGTGTCTGCAGCACTGGCCCTGAGAAGCTGGTTTGAGGCAGGGCTCTCCCAACAGCCTCTTCAGGGATCACATCCACTGCCATCCACCTGAGTTTGGTTTTTCAACAGCTCTCCCTACTTGAAAAGGCACTTCTTCATTTAGGCCATCGCCCTCTATCTCCATTTTTATCACTGTGAAAGAAACTACCACACTTCACAGTTGACTTCTGAGATGTAATCAAACCACTAAATTTAGCAATCATTATCTCTTATCTGGGTCAGCCCCTTCCATATTTTTCCTACTTCTTATCTTTACATCACCAATATGGCCCCTCTGGTTCAATGAAGTCCCTTATCTTAGTGTCTCTCACATAAATGAACTTTTGATTTATTTTGCCCTGTTTTGGTTAATGTATTAGTCTGTTATCACACTACTAATAAAGACATACCCAAGACTGGTTAATTTATAAAGGAAAGAGTTTTAACTGACTCACAGTTCCAAATGGCTGGGGAGGCCTCACAATCACAGTGGAAGGCAAAGGAGGGGCAAAGTCACATCTTCCATGGCAGCAGGTAAGAGAGTGTGTGCAGGGGAACTCCCCTTTATAAAACCATCAGATCTCGTGAGACTTATTCACTATCACGAGAACACCACGGGAAAGACCCACCCCCATGATTCAATTACCTCCCACTAGATCCCTGCCATGACATGTGGGAATTATGCGAGCTACAATTCAAGATGAGACTTGGGTGGGGACACAGCAAAACCATATCAGCTAATGACATTTCTTCTTCTTGGAATGTTCTCTCCTCTCTGCTCAGGATCTAAGTCCATCACTTCCTTGAGGATGCTTTATATGTCATTCTTCTTTGAGAATCTTTTACCCACACACTTGCTGTGTTTCCTCAAACATTTACACATCTAACTGATAGTATGTGGTCTTGCACTTGTTACCACATTGATTTGTACTTATCCTCTGTGATTATTTTGTGTCAACATTTGAAAGAACTATCAGCAGAGGTTGCATCCTACAAAACTTCTGTTAGCCAGGTAAATGCTCAAAACCTTTCCCTAATGAATGAGCACCAAGTGAGGGTTACAACTCTTAGCCAATCAAATCGTCACTGCTCTAACATGACACCGTGTCGCCACACACCTCTACTCCCAAAAGGCTCTCAATTCAGTATAGTGAAAGACGTGTTCCCCTGCTGTGGGAACAGATTTCCAATTTTAAATAGAAACCAAGCAAAGTAGCACTTTACAGAATTGTTTCCTGAAATATTAAACAATTTTAGAGTTCAATGCTTCTCATCTCACCCCACACTACTTGAAGTCCTTAGAAAATCACCCCCAACGGGTGGCTGAACCAGCTTCTTCATAAACACAACATCTGCTGTTTCATTTTTGGATAGTTTTATTTATTCAACAAGTCTCATCAAATCAAATGTATATTCCTTCTAACTTCTATCCTATTGGCCCTACTCTCTGTTTTCTGATTAGCACTTCATAAGTTTATGAAAATACTTTCCAAGCTGAATTTTAATTATTTGCTTCCATCTCTTTCTCTGCTCACTTGTCTCTGAGCTCCTTGAGAGCAGGGACCATGCTCTATTCAGTTCCGCAAATTCCCAAACTTTGCTCAGTTAGTGCTGGTGAAATGAATGAATGAATGAACAAATGATGTATCGGTTATCACACACAAGCTGAGAATGCAGGATGAATAACAATTTACTCCCTTTTTCACTTGACAGAACTTCATATATTTGAATGTAGCAATCATGCACAATTTTTATCCACCCCCACTCTTAAATTAAGTATTCCCAATTGCCTCAATAACTAGTTTCTCATATGATGACTTCAAGAGCCTACAACATTCTAGTTGCCTCCCTTCTTGTGAGCAGTTTATCAATTTCCCCCTTTAAATCAGTGCAACCAATCTGGGATTCAGTAGTCATAGATGGGTTGAATCAGTTTGTAAGAGCGATGTTGCCACCCTTGTTCTGAATTCCATACTTAAATTCTTTTAGCCAACTCTGCTGAAATGTATCCATTTTTCAAATAAAGGCCGAGTTTTAAATATTAATTGTTGATTAACAGTGGTTATTTCTGGGGGTGGAAGTTAGGATAAGGGGACTTTCATACTTTAACATTATTGCATGGGTTTAATTATTTATACTAAGCATGTACTACTTTTGTCATTAAAAGCCAGTATCAATTTTTAAAAATAAATTAATAGTTAATATTTGTGTTTTCTATGGTTCCAGCCTTACGGAGTACGTCCAAGCCATATTTAAGCTTCTCATACTTTTTCTCTTCTTCTGCACATATTTTTTCACCTATCAACAAGTATTTGAGTAGCCATTTGTGCACAGCACTTCTCTCTAACTACGATCTAGTAGCCAACTCAAACCTTACTTCTAGATTGTGAAATTTCTCTCTTTCTATAAATGTCACAAAGCAGCTCACCGTAATTTGATTTCTCACTTTCTTAAGGTCAGATTAAAACCCAGTAAGATATTATTTGAAGTTTGCCTTCCCCTAGAAGGGAGAAATCATATAGCACATTTCAGTAACGTTTCCTGGAGCGTAGGGTCTCCCACACTTTGTTTCCTCCCAAATACAGCTGTGTTTCATGCTCTAGAGAGGACTGTTGGGTTAACAAGTAGGGCCAAACAAGTGCAGATTAGAAAACATCGCCTAATTCTAGGCCATTACGCGAAGGCAGTGCTCTCCATATGGAGCACATAATTCAGGCCTCAGACAGTGTCACTGCATGTGATTCCATTCTACTACCCTCTGCTTAGTCCCTGCTCTCTAGGAGATCAGAGACAACTGAGCAGAGAAAGAGATGGAAACAAATAATTAAAATTCAGCTTGAAAAGTATTTTCATAAACCTATGAAGTGCTGATCAGAAAACAGAGAGTAGGACCAATAGGGTAGAAGTCAGAAGGAAGATACATTTGACTTGGTAAGACTGAGATAAACTCAGATCTTAAGTCTTTGAGGAGGGAAATATTATCGGCAGCAGCAGTTTTCATGAATCATGGGGCCATCAAGTTCCATCAGCAACTAAAGGGTTCTCCTCCTGTAGCGGAGGGGCTCTAAGCAGTTAACAATGGCCAAAACCATCTCCTTCAGGCTGTGGGATCCCATGTAGACTTTACAGACCTACAGCTGCACTGGGTCTCAAGAGACCAACAAATGGTCCAGCCCTTGGTAGTGCTGACACTGGTGACTACAAGCTAGCTTCTTCCTCTCTCTGGGTCTGTGTCCACTTCTGTCCAATCAGTGGGAAAAGCAGCCCTTCCCTGCCTGCCTCACAGGCAGATGATAAAGGGCTTCATGAAGAATAAAGTGTAATATAAATAGGAGGTTTGGGTAATGTACTGTTTTCCATTTTACATGATGGAGCTACTGAAGCAGAGATGATTAAGTGACTTGCCCAAGGTCACACAGCCAGTGAAAAACCTTGGTGATGGGACAGTTTAACGGAGAAGACTGGAGTCTGTGTCTCCTGCCTACTGTAGGTTCCTTCCGTGAGTCTCTCTGGTTTCCAGCCTCGAGGAGTTGCAGTCCATTACCCAGGTCCACGAGCTAATTTTAGGGTTTTAGGAGCCTGAAAAATTACCGTCAATAAGCTGACCAGGCTCACCATCGCATGTCTTTATTTTTGGCTGAAATGGTAACATCCCAGAGTGGGAGTGCTGGTTAGTTCAGGGGTCCTCGACTCAGGATTAAGCAAATTAATCACATCACCCAGGGAGCTTTTAAAAAATGTTAATGCTCAAGCTCCA